CTCCAGGTGGGTAGGACAGATGTTCCAGGGGCTGGGCAATCCTCAAGCAATGAGGAATGAGAATGGACAGGCAAATACCAGGTATTCTTGGGAAATGCCCACAGAGAGATGGATGGTGGCCCGGATGGGCAGCAGCCTCAGAGATACCCCTCCTGGCAGCCGAGCAGAGGAGGTGTTCATGGGCGCAGGTACACAGGATGAGGGCCATGCTGGCCACTGAGCTGGGGGCAATGTCCCACTCCCAAAGGACCCTGTAAAGACCTCCTTTGTCCCCAGAACCCATGTGGGAAGGTAAATTCTAGGTATACTCTATACAGAGGAGTGGTTTTAAGGTGTGTCCTATTCAGTTTTCCAGAATATTCCAAGTAGGATTGCACTCTGGTTGCCCCCAGTGGGATACACTGGTGAACACATCCTTATTGCCTCTCCCTCCATGCCTGATGCCTCACTCCCCAGTGAGTCTCCTGGGATCCCCTCTCAAACCACTGGCACCCAAATTCTTGTCCCAGGCTGCTTATATAGATACCCAAATTAAGACAGGGTGGCATCGGAGGCTGGGTCGGGTTTGCTGGTGTGCCCCACATGGGGCAGTGGCGGGGAAGGGCTGAGCAACCGCCTCTCAGAAGCTGCCTGGCTACACACATTTCCCAAGCAAAGAGGGGCCAAGCCTGTACCAGCTCCTCTCCCAGCAGCAGGGTGGGCAGAATGAGCCCCGCATCCTCCTGGGCACACACTTGGAGCCGCGTTGAAGCATGCCTACGCTGATCTAGGGACTGGTCGTGGGGGGTCATGGGACACGTGTGAGTGTGACAACTGTGGGTAGGTGGGTGTGTCTGTGTATAGGTAAATGTGGAGGATACACATGACCCTGTGTGTGTGTGTGTGTGTGTATGCGTGTGAGAGTGTGTGCACACTTTTGCTTCCATGTAACCTTGAGGAGCTTCTGGCTTAGAGAGCTTGTCCAACTGGCCCTGCCCCACAGGCTGCCTGCAGACCTCCGAGCTGGCCAGCGCAGGGCGGGGCATACCACTCCAAGTGGAGGCTGGAGCTGAGCCATGCTTAAGGCAGAGGGCAGGGCTGCTCTAGCCTCCTGCGGACCGAGTGGGGCCCTGGGAGCGGGGACATGAATGTGGAGTGTTGCAGAGTGTCACCGCCATCACATGGCTCCCTGCGCTGCCCCAGGCGGGGCTCAGCGTGGGGCAGGCTGAGCCTGGGTATATTTAACATCCCGTTGATTGGGAATGGCATGTCTCACGTGGCCCCAGGCCCAGGAGCTGCAGAGCCAGGTTGCTAGGAGAAGTGTAATTTCTGTCCCTGCCTGCTCCCTTTCATGTCCCCTCGCCCCTTGTCTATGTCACTCAGCTGCACCGAAAGCCCTGATTTCTCTCTAAAAATGAAACAGTGAGCTTGGCTGTGTGTTGGTGCTGGTGGGGTGGGAGGGGCATTTTTCTACCCATGACAAGGGCTAGTGGCCAGCTTTTTCCAGAGTGAGTGGTCATCCCCAGGGGCCAGGCTCAGGAGAGACCCCAGCCTCCTTGGGATTGACTCCCTTATCCTGGGGAGCACCAGGTTTAAAATGTAACTTTTCACTCGTGTAAGGGCCTTGGAGGTTAGTTAGGTCCAGCCCTTGTGACTCACATGGGGAAGGGTAGTCTCAGAGAGGGAAATCCACTTCCCCAGGGTGACACAGGAAAGCAGGCAAGAGCCAGGATTAGAACTAGAGTTCCTGGATCCTGGATTTGCCCAGCACTGTCTGCTCTGCAGGGGGAATCTCACCCTTCTCTGGTTCACGTGGCCTACAACTCAGATTTTCCTACACTGACCAGGAGCCACATGGAGGGGCAAGCTTATTGTTTTAAGTGGCAGACAGATGGGAGTTCTGTCACCTTGAACTTCACTTCTGACCACCTCCAGCGTCACCAACTGATCCTCTTACGCAGGGGTCCAACATAGCTCCAAGGAGTGGCTCCAACCCATCACCCCAGCCGATCCTGCAAGCATTGTCGGAAACCAGCAGCCCCCAGTCTCCATAGGAGGATGATGCTTCTCCAACAGGCTCAAGTCAGGCCAGCCCTGCCTGGCTCCCTTGTTGCTGCCTGCCCTCTTCTACCAGGCCCAACAGTGTCCCCTTAAAATTCGTGTCTCCTCTGGAACATGTGAACATTAACTCATGGGGAAATAGGGGCTTTGCAGATATAATCCAGTTAAGAGGGGGGGTGTTGTAATCCACTGACTAATGTCCTTGTAGGAAAGGAGATTTGGACAGAGCCCAGCGACACAGGGGGAATGCCATGTGATGATGGGGGTGGGGCTAAGTGACTCATCTGCAAGCCAAGGAACCCTCGGGATGACAGCCACCACCAGAAGCTGGAGGAGGCAAGGAAGGAGGCTCCCTTGGAGTCTTTGGAGAGAGCATGACCTTCCTGACACCTTGATTTTGGACTTCTGGCCTCTAGAACTGTGGGAAATAAGCTCTTGTTGTTTTAAGTCACTCGTTGGTAATAGTTTGTTGTGGCAGTCCTAGGAAAGTAAATGCCTCTTCACCACACGGCTGGGATCCCGCGCCTACCTTTGCCCAATGTGACCCTTCCTGCCCTCAAGTGGGATGGGTTCAAGCCACCAACTCCTCACTCTAGAACTTAATCTGCAGCCCCTTGTCTGCTATTTCTATCACCTTGAAATTCACTTCTGGCCACCTCCAGTGTCAACTGGTCCTCTCACCTTGGGGCCCAGAACTAGTGGGGATCCCCACTATCCCAGACAGCACCCTCTATGTCCCCGGCTGCTCCCTGGCCAGCTCCTTTTCCGCTGTCCCCTCCTTGTCTGGCTGAGTCATACCCATGCTCCAAAACTCCACATCTTCTCCTACAGCAGGTGCCCTGCCCTGTGGGCCTCACTTGGCCCTGCAGGCTGGGCTGGGCACCCCTCAAATAGATGTGGATGTCCCCAGCACCCTGAGTACCACTTGTGCCTAGCTTGTTTCATGCAGCGCTGTCACCACCAGTTTATTTGGGAATCTCTGCCCCTGGATGGACCTCCCTGTGGGCTGAGACCATGCTGCGCTCACCAGGAAAGCTTGTGACATAGGGATAATCCAGCCCAGCCCTTCTCTTTAGGGATGGAAAAATTGAGGCCCAGAAAGTAGAAGAAACTTGCCTCGAATCTGCCATCCAACCAGAACCAAGTTTCTTCTTGCTGTTGAAACACCATCTGGGAATGTTCTTTTTGGGGCCCCCAAGAGAGGCAGCAACCACTTCTTGGGCACCTCAGTACTTCCTGTATTTCAGGACTTAAGGGCCCCATGGAACCCCAGGTGGAGTCCTGAAGGCCAGGGCGGGAGATCTTTCTCCTACTGGAGGAACCATGGTGCACTGGTCAGACTGGACAGAGAATACCACACACCAGGCAGGACCAGAGCTCATGGGAGGAGAATCCTCTCTCGGACAGAGACTCTGGTTTCTGGGATGTTCCCTGAGATCAGCCTGTATAGCTTTGGACTGCCTCTCCCACTGCCTCAGTTTCCCCACGTCACCCAGACCTAGGGCACTTTAAAGATGCAAGAAAGAGCCAGTAGTTTCAGATTTCAGCTCTACCGCATGTCAGTCAGATGCATCATTCAGTCTCTCAGAGCCTTCCTCTCCCTAGCTATGAATAACGGGGGTTAAATGAGAGGCACCGGAGCCAGAAACAGCATGCAGGCTGGTTCACAGCGCTGCCCTTTCTTGTACATTCTGGCCCTCCAAAGTCTGCCTGCTGCCATCATGCCTTGGGCCCTCCCCTTCTCCCCTGGGGCAGGATGGAGGGGGCTGAGACCATGGGTGAATTGGACCCCTCTTGGGCCAGCCTGGGCCAGGCATATATCAAATGGAACCACATTTCCATATTCGCAATAAGCCAGTCAGGCAGAGACCATACCCATTTTACAGAGGTGGGAGCTGAGGCCCAGAGTTTCACTTATTTGGCTGATGAAGAGGAACAGTGTGGCTGGGCGAAACTGGCATGAACGTGGCCATGAGGCGTTAACTCTGCCTTATTCTATGTCTTCAGCCACCTGCGAAGCTTTTCTCAGGCTTTGGTGACACCAGTGCCCTGGGTACATGTGCTGGGTGATTCACAGCAGCATAGTCTATGATCCTGGTGCAGGGCATCACACAGCACCTCCAAGCATCTCATCCTTCGCTGGCATTTCAGAACAGCCAGAGACCCCAAGTTTCCATCCCAGTGAATGAGGCCCTGGCCCCAGCACACATAGTGCTGGAGGAACATGCCACCCTTCACTTCCAGGAGCCCATAAATTTTACCTGTCCCCCATGTGGGGAGGATAGGGTGTCTTGGGAGATGAAGGGCCTGTCCCACTGTCCATCTAGATGGCTGGGCTAGGTCAGGCAATTTTGCTGATGTCACCTCCCTGGAGATATTAAATATTGATAATACAGTAAATTTTCCCCGCACCTTCTATGACTCATGTCTTGCTATGTGCTGCAAGGAAGACAAGTAGGTTGAGGTGGCTCCATTTAGGCTGATGGGCATCCATTTCCCTGGCACTCTGGGAATCGTAGCCTTCTTGTGCTGAAGGGGCTTAGGGAGGTCATGTTGTCCAGCCCCCTAGCCTGAGATGAGCATTCTCCATGGCAGGGGAAATCATCTGGTTTGCTCATCATAATGATCAATCACCCTTTCTTTTGGGAAGTTCTTCTTTGAATCCGACTGTGATCCATGTTAAGCAGGACCCTGGAAGTCAAGCCCTGTATCCCAACAACCAAATGACCAAAGAACCCCATTCCTAGGGAGCAGAGCACCTGGCGGGGCTCCGAGGTCTCGCTTTGGCCTGTTTCCAGCTGCCCATTTGCTGTGTGACTTTGTACGTTGACAATATCGCTGAACTTCAACGCCCTCATCTGTAAAATGGGACAGTAATCTTTCCAGGCCACGTCCTAGGACTGCTGGGGGCGTGGCTTCAGTTTCCCACAGGCACAGCTTGGTGAGTGCTGGGGGGACTACTGGGTTAGTTGTCCTCTGCAGTAAATAACTTGATCAAATGAGACAATAATCGTGGAAGAGCTTTGCAAATTCCTTTGTAAACACGGTGTTGTGTAAATGTTAGGGGAGAATGACATGCTTCAAAAATTCAGAGCAGCAAACTTGCTCAGAAGGGGGAAGGTTCCTAAATTTTCTTGTATCCCCAGTCCTGGAGCCCTGTGCAGGAGTTTGCAGGGAGGGGCAGGGAGCTACCCAGAGCTGAACTGGCTGTGTTCCTCCCTTCCCACTCCTCCTCCCTCGGGCTTCAAGCCAGGCTCAGGATCCTGATTACAGAGGCCCAGGAGTGGGGAGCTTATCAGTTACATGAAATCAATAGGCATTTTCTTTATATTTTCTAATTAAAAGAACCGACAGAGAAAAGAGAAAAACTCAAGTGCCCACCAGCTGTCAATAGCTGTCGAGCAGGGGAATTGCAGGGTCACTGGGCCGGGCCATTTGTCAATGCCAAGCTCTGCCCGCCTGGCCTGCTCTCACAGCATCTGGATGTACCCAGAAGAGGAACCGGGGGGCAGCACATCTTCCGGTGGCTTCTCAGACTTCTGGCCGTGGCAGCTCTGTCTCCTGGGCCTTCCTTTGTCGGGAAATGTGCAGAATTGAGCCAAGGCTGCAGTGAGGCACCCCTGCAATCAGTGACAGGCTGTCGGGACAGCCATCCACTGCTAGGATCCCACAGCTTCCGAGAGACCTGCAGGTGGGGCAGGGGACTCTGCAGAGCTGTTCTGGGGAAAATGCTCACCCATTTTTTCTCAGAACCAGTGAGAAAACACAAGAGAGAATGGGCTCAAGAGGCAGCAAGCAGGATGTGGGGCAGATGTGAACAGGCATCTGGACACAGAGATGGGTCATCAGAAGCCTGACCTGCTACTCACATGGGACTTCTGCTTCCCAAGATACCCGTGCTGCAGGGCTCTCTTCAGCCCTGGGGTCTGTGAGTGGCAGGGAGACGGCCCCTTCTCGAGGTGACTGCTGCACTGCCCTTCCCAGATCCTGTCACCAGGCCCATGACCCTCTCCCAGATGCTGGGAGCGTTAGCTGCTCATGCCTCCCCGGATCTCCTGTACTGGGCAGAAGGAAGCCAGCTCATCCAGAAACACCCCAGAGCTTACGCCTCCATAAGGCAGCCCTCAGCTGATGACTGACTGAGATGGGATACAGAAGGCTGGTGCCCTGGCCTAAAGGGGACTCCTGATGCTCTGGAAGCCCCCATGGGGTAAGGCTGTGGCTGGGCCTCAGCTTCACCTTCATCTTTGCCTAGTTTTTCCTCTTGCCCTAATCTGTTCCCCTCATCCCATTATGGGACTCATCTGAGGGCAGCCTTTCCTCCATTATGTGCACAAGAACCTTGACACAGGCTCTGCTTTCTCCTGGAAGAATCTGACCCATTCAGTTCATTCATTTGGCAGGTATTTATTGTGCATTTATCACACGCCAGGCACTGGGCTAGGCCCTGGAAGTGCACAGTAATAATGACTGCCAATGGGAGAGAAAGGTGACAAGCAGGTAAACAAATAGATAAATGTGTTAGACACAAGAGCTGAGAAAAGGAGAAGACGTTGAGGGGGCAGGGGGCTAATTGGGATTAGGTGGGCAGGGAAGGTCTCTCTAAGGAGGCAGTGGCGCGTGACTTAGGACTTGGTGACTAGGAAGAGCCAGGCACGTGAAGACCGTGGGGAAGGTTAGGCAGACAGCCGGCACGTGCAAACACCCTAAGGCTGGAGTAAGCCTGTGAACTCTGAGGCCCCGAAAGACCGGTGTGCTCGGAACTTAGCTGGCAGGGCACGAGGGCAGAGAGGGTGTGACCTGGTCAGCCATGGCAAAGGCTCCATTCCAAGGGCAATGGGGACTTTGGAAAGAGGATCAGGCAATGGAATGAGAGGCTCTGACTGCTATTTTTAAAAGCTCACCCTGGTGGTCCTGCATAGATGGGCAAGGGATGGGTGGGGACCATGGGAGTTGAAACTTCTGGTGCCCTACACAGCAGCCCATTGCAATTTCAGCTGCAGCTGATGAGTCAAGAACAAAGATCCTCAAATGCTTGCCTCTGCTCTCTGCTTTTCTTCTATGGGGCTTTTGGGGGGCTTTTGGGGGATCTCCCAGGGATTACTCAGCCTGCATAGGACAGCCTGGGAGTATTAGGAGGACAGGGAGTCAAGGCCTCTGGAAACAACCATCCATCAATGGGGATTGAGGGTCAATAAGTAAAAGCCCCAGCCTCTGTCCTTTGGAGAGACAGTTCCTAGAAGTGGGCCATACAGTTTCTATAGGACCGAGCTACACTTGGCCTCAGCAGCATCAGTAACTCAGGAACACACATTAGGTTGGTGCTGTGAGCTGAATGTGTTGCCCTCAAATTCATATGTTGAAATTCCAACCCCTAGGGTGATATTGTCAGGAGGTGGGGCTTTTAGGAAGTGATTAGGTTGGGGGCAGAGTCTTCATGAAGGGGACCAGTGCCCATATGAAAGAAGCCCCAGAGACCCACCTTGCCCCTCCTGCCCTGTAAGAATGCCATCAGAAGCCTCTGCCTATGAGGAGCAGGCCCTCACTAGACACGGAATCTGCTGGTGCCTTGATCACGGACCCCAGGCTCCAGAACTGCGAAAAATGCATTTCTGTGATTTATAAGTCACCCGGTCCACGGTATTTTGTTATATAGCACCCCAAACAGACTAAGGTAGCTTTTCCCCTCTCCTGCCTCACTTGTGCTCGTCTGTGTTTTCTGTGATTGCCCCCCCAAATAAGCAAGCTGCATCCAGATCTCTGTTTCACGCTCTGCTCTTTAGGGAACCTAACGTAAGGCAGACAAAGGAGAGCCAATGGTGGCTTGGAGGAGGTGACGGCTGTGGAGGGCAGAGAGTCGGACACGGACCCAGGACGTATTGTGCCAGCCAGGCAATGGGACAAGCCCGTGGATCTGCTGTAGAAGATGAGGAAGGGGGAGGAATCAAGGATGACTCTGAGGACTTTGGCTTGAAGGTTGAAGGTTTTCTAAAATTAAGAAGATTGTCCGAAGAACAGGTGTACCGTAGGGAAACTCAAGAGGTTGGTCTGGGCCGTATTCAATTTGCAATGTCTGTGAGCTCTCTCAGTGGAGATTCCCAAGAGGCAGACAGAGAAACGAGTCTAGAGCTTGGAGCAGAGGTTAAGGCTACAGACAATCAATTCGAGTCCAGTCATCAGCTCAGAAGTGGTATTTTAAGCCATGGGCCTGGGCGAGAGTACCTGGGAGAGTGAATCGATAGAGGAGACATGCAGGTTAACCAAAAGAAAAGGAGCCCCTTCATCTGAGCATGGAGTCCTAGCCCAGCTTGGTGGAAACTGCCCAGGTTCCCTAAACTCCCTGGGTGCCTACAGTGTCATAATCTCACGGGAACCTTGGAGCAGTCCTGAGGCATAGGAGACAGGCAGGGCTGCCGTGTACAGTGGCACAGGTTAGGCACTGCCCAACTCCAGGTGGTACCATTTACACAGGACACGATGTCACAGGTGCTCCCTAGAGTTGTTCAGTTTACAGTCTTCACAGCCATATACACCTCTTTGCAAGGCCAGAGGGAATATGGGCAAGGCTCTACATGAGCCACAGGGTGAAACCTCTAAAGGCTCAGCAGAGGTGGCGATTGCAGCCCTTGGGGCAATCAGAGAAGTCTCCCTGGAGGAGGTGGCATTTGCCCTAGAGCTCAAAGAATGGGGAGTATTTACACCATTTGTATTTGGAAGCAAGATGCTCCAGCAGAGGCAATTGCAATGAACAAAGTCTGGAGGCAGAAATTGCCAGGCATGTTTGGGATTTTGCTTTCCAGGGATTGCCAAGGAAAGTAATAAGGATTATGAAAAAACTATTCTGGGTGGAGGCCCTTGAGTGACATGCCAGGGAGATGCACACAGTTATCCGGCTTGCTCAAGGTTACACAGTGAGGGCGACTCAGAGCCAGGACTTGGACCCTGGGTCAGAGGGTATGCCTACCTATGCCATCAGGACATAGGCTTCCTAGTGACCTATCACCTTCCCGGTTCCTGTCATTTCCTTTGGCAGCTCCAAAACTCCGTGAAGGAGTGGCAGCTGCCTTCTCCAGCCCCCACCTGGCCCCCAGAGGCAGAGGCCTGTTCTGCCTTTATTTTCTAGGGCAGCATCTAAAGAGGCACAGACTGTTTCCTCCGAGAGATGGCAGATTTGGGGGGAGGGGGCAGAGGCTCCCCTGGACCACAGAGAAAAGTGGGCACAAAGTAAGTTCGTGGCAGGGAGCTGGGCTTCCAGCGTGGGAGAAGAGAGATGGGAGAGGACCTGGACACTGGTAGGCTTGTTTGTCCACGAACCCGGGAGAGACAGGCAGCCAAGAGCAGGGCCTCCTGGGGATGAGCTTTGTCAAGCTCTTCCCTGACTTTGAGAATGCCGTGTTAGCCAGTGCCATGCGGGGATTCATGATTCTACACACACTCTTACACTCCCACACACACGCTCTTATACACACTCGCATGAACACACGCACATGCACACCCACGCTGTTCCGGTCACCTTGAACCTCTGCCACTCCCTCCAGTGCCACTGTTTCTTTCACCTTAGGCCTGCAACCCCGCTGCTCCCTCCTTCACGTCTCAGTTTGAATGTTCCTTTCCCCAGGAGCCCTTCTCTTTACCCCACATCTATTAAGGGGCCCTCCTCTGGGTCCGCTGGCCCTGTCATAGCCCCATCCTGTTCTAGTATTTAATGTTCTGCATCTGTCAGCCCAGCCTGCACATGCTGTGAAGATAGGCGTTTTGTCTGTCTTGATCCCTGTAGCATCTCCAGGGCCTAGCACAGTGTTAGGTATACCCTGTGTGCAATAAATGCTACAGGCAGCAAGGGAGGGGCCACAGAGCCAGTGTCGACTGAATTCTTGTTTTTCGCTTTCCTTCCTGGGTGGGTGGCCACCTCGAGCTTTCCTGGACCTGTGAGTGTGGTCCCTTCTCTGAGACCTTCAGTCCTATCTCCCCAGCTGTCCCCTGCCCCCAGCATGCTCTAGAGTCCTGAGTGCCCCCCATTTGATCCTCTGTGCTGAAGGCCAGGTTATGCAGAGGCTGTTCTAGGAACAGGAAGAACAGACTCCACACCCAGGAGACTCTTGACCTGGGGAGAGTCAATTCGGGCTAATTCCCCAATTCCCTGGGCTGTGGCCACCAGCAACGATGCTGCGTCTGTCTCCTTCAGTAACCTGCCTTCTGCGGCTGCCCCCACCTCCCTCCAGAGCTGGCTTTAGGGAAATCCCAGCAGCCCAAGCTACTTTTTCCTTTGCCCTCCCCTCCATTCTTGGTCCTGACTGAGGCAGACCAAGCTTAACCTGGGCTCACAGCATGGCCCCGCCTGCCTTCCCATCGAGGTGCTGCTAGCCCTGCAGTTTTCCCCACAATGGAGGTGTCATCACCGTGGGGGGTTCAGCTGAAGGGAAGCTTCTCTGAGGATCTGCAAACCGCAGCATCCCTGAAACCTGGGCTTCAGCGGAAGAACGGAGTCTGGAGGCTGTCCCTGGCTCTCACTGCTCTGGAGAGATAGACTTTTCCATGCAGAAAAGCATGTCTTGGGGTGTCCAACTCAAAACCTGATTGAAGCTGCGTCCAGGAGGCTCTGTAGACACTGAGCTGTTTGGCACCCAGCCCTGCCCTGGAGGCACCTGTCAGAAATCCTGTGCTAGACAGACCAGGGCTAGCCTAGAGCAGGCCATCTCTGGGAGGCGGTGCACCAAAGGCCTCCCGGAGGAGATGGCACCTCGGGGGATCTGCACAGGTGTGAGGGAGGAGGTGGGTGTGGAGGAGAAGGATGATCCGAGAGGGAACTGTGTGAGTAAGAGCCATGTTTGGGAAATGCTTGGTCCCTGGCAGAGCGCTGGCCGACAGGAGCCTGGAGAAGATGAGCTTTCATCTGCTCTGCACAGGCACTTTAAATAGGTACCTTCACTCAGGCCCTCCTCAGTGGTGGGCACAGATGGCATGGCACCCGCCCTGCCCTCGAGGGGTTCTCTCTGTCCAGGGAAGGAGGCTATGAGACTCACTGTGCCTTCACATAGTAGGTGCTCCTCAAACGTGGCTGCTGGGCAAGTGCTGCTGTTAACTTTACGGGAGTCCAGGGAGGAAGGAGAGTCCCCAGCAGGCTGGTGGGCAGCCGGGAGCCTTCCTCGGGGAGGCAAGTCTGTGCTGGGCTTGGAGAGATTCAGCCCGGTGATGAGATTTGGGGAGGAAAATGGGAAGTGTCCATACTTGGGAGGGTATCACTGATATGGCAGGACCGGGCGTCTCAGTGCCATGCAAGTGCATGACAGTGTGAGCGAGTGTGCGTTTTTACATTAGTGTGTAAGTCTGAGGTGTGCATAGGTGCACAAAACTGTGCGTGTGAGCAAGTGCAAGTATATGTGAGCGTGTGAGATTGGGAGCGTGAATGTGTGAGGGGGTGTGAGTGTGAGCTAGTGTGTGTGTGCGAGTGTGTGTGTGTGAGGGTGTGTGAGCGTGAACTGGTATATGTGTTTGGATTTGAATGTGTGTGAGTGTGAGTGCCTGTGTGGCTGAGTGTGTGGGCCCTCAAGGGCCTGTGACAGCGCATGTGGGCTTGAGCGTGCACTGCACATCACCAGAGCCACGCTCTGCCTGTTTTTGCAATCACTATGATTTGCTGGATTTCAGCCGAGCATTCAATCCACCATGAGGCATAAAGAAAATGAATTTCGTTCCCTGGGGACATTGCATCCAGCCCAGGTGGACAAGTACATGGCGTAGTCAGTGGTTACAGAGCAGCCGGCACATGGACTTTGCTTATTGGGAGTGATGGTTCCTCTAGGGAGCACCCTGGCTGGGAGCCAGAAGCCCACTGTGTGACCTTGGCCTGGTCTCTGGCCCTCTCTGGGCTTGGCTCTTTGCCCAAGTGAGAGAAGGATGCAGAGAAACCTGACTGGCAGGAGAGACCAGAACCACCGGCAAGACCTTTTCCAGGTCCACACCCTTGGCTTTGGGCTCTGTCTAGACAGGCACCCACTCCCACAGGCTGCGGATGTTCCCAGGAGGGCCCATGGAGCCCATCTGAAGGACTCGCACTAGCAGTCAACTGGCAAGCAGGAGGGTGGGTAGAAGAAAGACAATGAGCCTCCGAGCCAGGCATTCCTGCTTCAGACCCCAGGACCACCGCTCACAGTAATAGTAATTGAAGCCACCACCTAACCACCACCCCAGCACTCACTCTGAGCTGCAGCTGCGTGCTCTATCTCTGCTACCTCATGTGCCTCTCCCAGCAGCCCAAGGAGGAAGGTAGGATTAGTCCCATTTTATAGGTGGAAAGACTAAGACTCAGAATGCCTCAGTGACATGCTCTGAGCTAAGAGGTGGCTTTGACCACCAGCTGAGCTGCCTTCCTGCACTTCTCATCTGTAGAATGAGAGTAGTGATGTCAGCTTGGTGGGGCTGTCTTGGGATGAATGAGACATTGTGGGTGTGGAGGGGCCAGCATGGCACCTGGCTCTCAGTGACCGCACCCTAAGTGGCCCCCGGCTCCTCTGTGTAGGAGACAGGCCCTGGGAGGAAGGAGATCCTCCTGGGAGGACCTCTGGGTGGAAGCCCCCCTTGCTAGTTGCCCCAACCCGGATGAGGACTGGGCTGAGATGAGGGCTAAGGATGAGGGTCCCAAGGGAAGATCAGGTCTTACGCTCTCTCCTTCACTGTGGTGGAAACAGACACTGGAGCCTCCAGAACACGGCCCTGAAGCAGGTTCCACCCCAGGGTCCTGACCAGGGGCAGGAGGAAGCAGCCCTGTGTCCACAGGCCTTGTTTCCCCAGTAGCCTCCTGAGAATGGCACAGCACAGAAACCTTCCCCCCACCCAGACCACTGAGGATCCAGGTGCCCCTAATTAAACTCCAGGAAGGGAGGTGGCAACAGGGGAGGTTAATTGGCCCGGCCTGGTGTGGCCTGATAAGCTGCTGTCTGTGTTCCCGGGAAGGTGGGCTGTGAGTATGTGAATGTGCTCATGCATCTGATTGCGGGGTCACCCACCCCCAGGCTCTGTAACTAATCTCCATGGAGGCCCGAGGCTACCATCTCCCCTATCACAGGGCTCTCTTGGTCATGCTCCCCGCCTCCAACCTAGAAATTGGTCACCCCTCTGCAGCCTTGTACCAAGAACAACCTGCCCCCAGCCCCGGTCACCTGGTCGCGCACACAGCCCCAGCAAGTCCTCGACCTCGAGGGGATGCCTTGCTACAGGTGGGGCTCTGGCTCTCGGGCCCAAGTCTTCTCTCCAGAGGTCCCTTTCCTACTGGAATGGTGCTGTGGGTGTGGGCGCATTTGGAGAAAGTTGGGGACTCTGTTCAGGGATGTCCTTGAAAAATCCCAAGATAAAAATATATGTGAATGGAGCAAAGATAGCCTTTCAACAAATGGTGCTGGAAAAACTGGACATCCCCATGCAAAAAAAAAAAAAAGGGGGGGGTCTAGACACAAATCTTATACTGTTCAAAAAATTAACTCAAAATGGATTAAAGACTTAAATGTAAAATGCAAAACGATAAAACTCCTAGAAGATAACACAGAAGAAAACCTAGATGACCTTGGCTATGGCAATGACTTTTTAGATACGAAACTGAAGCTCTAGTCCATGAAATAAAGAATTGTTAAGTTGGACTTTATTAGAATTAAAATAAAAACTTCTGCTCTGTGAAAGACACTGCCAAGAGAATGCGAAGACCAGCCACAGACTGGGAGAAAACATTTGCAAAAGACACAGCTGATAAAGGACTGGTATCCGAAATATACAAAGAACCCTTAGAACTCAACAATAAGGAAACACAAACAATGGCCAGGCGTGGTGGCTCGTGCCTGTAATCCCAGCACTTTGGAAGGCCAAGGCAGGTGGATCGCTTGAGCTCAGGACCTGGGCAACATGGCAAAACCCCAAAGTCTCTACAAAAATATTAGCCAGGCATGGTGATACTTGCCTGTAGTCCCAGCTACTTGGAGGCTGAGATGGGAGGATCATTTGAGCCCAGGAGATAGAGGTTGCAGTGAGCCAACTTTGCACCACTGCATTCCAGCCTGGGTGATGGAAGTGAAACCCTTTCCCAAAAAGAAAGAAAGGAAAGAAAGAAAATAAAAAGAAATAAAAGAAGGAAGGAAGGAAGGAGGGAAGGAGGGAAGGATGGGGGGAAGGAGGGAGGGAAGGAAAGAGGGAAGGAAGGAAGAAAGGAGGGAAGGAAGGAAGGAGGGAAGGAAGGAGGATGGGAAGGAGGGAGGGAAGGAAGGAGGGAAGGAAGAAGGGAATGAAGGAGGGAAGAAGGGAGGGAAGGAAGGAGGGAGGGAAGAAGGGAAGGAAGGAAGGAGGGAGGGAAGGAGGAGGGAAGGAGGAAGGGAAGGAAGGAAGGAGGGAAGGAGGGAAGGAAGGAAGGAGGGAGGGAAGGAGGACAGAAGGAAGAAG